GGGGGGGGGGGGGACCTCCAGGGTGGGTCTGGGACCCTCAGGAGGGAAATGGACCCTCAGGGTGAGTTTGGGACCCTCAAGAGGGAAATGGGACCCTTGGGGTGGGGAAGAGACCCCTGAGGTGGGGGCGGGACCCCCAGGGTGGGGATGGAACCCTCAAGATGGAAATGGGACCTTCGGGGTGGGGATGGGACCCTCAGGATGGGTCTGGGACCCTCAGGAGGGAAATGGACCCTCAGAGTGAGTTTGGGACCGTCAAGAGGGAAATGGGACCCTTGGGGTGGGGAAGAGACCCCTGGGGTGGGGGTGGGATCCCCGGGAAGGGGGTGGGATCCCTGGGATAGGGATGGGACCTCAGGATGGGCTTGGGACCCCCATGGCCATACTGGGATGGGGTTGGGACCCCCATGGTCCTACTGGGATGGGGTTGGGACCCCCATGGTCCTACTGGGATGGAGTTGGGACCCCCATGGTCCTACTGGGATGGGGACCCCCGTGGTCCTTCCCACCCCCTGGAAAGAACCCCCATGACCAGGGGGGACCCCTGTGGTCCTTCCCAACCCCCTGGGGGTCTGGGGGCACCCCCTAACGCCCCCCGGACCCCCCAATCCTCCCCCCCAGGGCAGGAACGTGGCCAGTGGCGACCAGGGCTGGTTCCCCAGTGGTGCCGTGAGACCCTTCGTGGCTGTGAGTTTGGGGACCCCCAACCCTCCCCCCCAGGGACCCCCCGACCCTCCCCGGTGTCCCCGAGGGGTTGGGGGGGGTCCTGGAATTTGGGGGGGTCTCAGAGGAATCACCTCGTGTGTCCCCCCGACCCCAAAATCTGCTCCCTCCCCAGGGACCCCCCCCCACTCGTGTCCCTGCGGGGTTTGGGGGGTCCTGGGATTTGGGGGGTCCCGGGATTTGGGGTGGGGTCTTGGAGGGGTCACCCCAATCCCAAACTCTGCTTCCTTCCCCCCCCCCCAGGTGCCGCTGCCGGATCTCTCCGTGTACCCCTGGTTGGTGCTGTGGACCCCCCCCTGCCCCCCAAAATCCTCCTCTGGGCCCCCCATAGCCCTGGGACCCCCCCAAATTCTCCTCTGAGATCCCTCAAATCCTCCTCTGGGCCCCCCATTGCCCCTGAAATCCCCCAAAACCCTCCTCTGGGACCCCCCCAAATCCTCCTCTGGGCTCCCCATTGCCCCTGGGACCTCCCCAAATCCTCCTCTGGGACCCCCAAATCCTCTTCTGGGCCACCCCATTGCCCCTGGAACCCCCCAAAATCCTTCTCTGGGACCCCCCAAATCCTCTTTTGGGCCCCCCATTGTCCCTGGGATCCCAAAATCCTCCTCTGGGACACCCTAAATCCTCCTCTGGGTCCCCCATTGCCCCTGGGACCCCCCCAAATCCTCCTCTGGGCCCCCCATTGTCCCTGGGATCCCAAAATCCTCCTCTGGGACACCCTAAATCCTCCCCATGGCCCCCCAAATCCTCCTCTGGGCCCCTCTCCCTCCCCAAACCCCCCCGTATTGGTGCAGGAGGTGTTATTTGGGGTCTCAGAGCCCCCAAAACCCCCCGGGGTGTGGGGGGGTGCTATTTGGGGTCTCAGAGGCCCCGAACCCCCCGAGGTGGTGCTTTTTGGGGTCTCAGAGCCCCCGACCCCCCCCGTGGGTGTTTTTTGGGGTCTCAGAGCCCCCGAACCCCCCCGGGGTGGTGTTATTTGGGGTCTCAGAGCCCCCGAACCCCCCCGGGGTGGTGTTATTTGGGGTCTCAGAGCCCCCGAACCCCGCCGTGGGTGCTCTTTGGGGTCTCAGAGTGCGGGCGGTGTTATTTGGGGTCTCAGAGCCCCCCCGTGGGTGCTCTTTGGGGTCCGTGACGCCCCCCCCCCCCCCGCAGGTACGCGGGTCCCATGGAGCGGGCGGGGGCCGAGCAGGTCCTGGCCCCCCGCTCGGACGGCGCCTTCCTGGTGCGGCAGCGGGTCAAAGATTCGGGGGAATTCGCCATCAGCATCAAGTAGGGCCCGGGGAACCCCTTTTTGGGGTCGGGGGGGGACATCGCAGACCTCCCCGTGACCCCCCCCGGGTGTCCCCCCCCCCTCAGGTACCGCGGGGAGGTGAAGCACATCAAGGTGATGACGGGGGAGGGGCTCTATAGGGTCACCGACAAGAAGGTGTTCAAGGGGCTGGTGGTGAGTGAGGGACCCCCCCCAGAGACCCCACAGCGCTGCGGGACCCCCCCGGGGGGATTTGGGGGTTTGGGGGTGTGGCTCCCGGGGGGATTTGGGGGATTGGGGGTGGTGACCTCCCGGTGGAGTTTTGAGGGGGGGTTTTTGGGGGGTGGTGACCCTGTGGTGGAGTTTGGGGTTGTGACCTCGTGATGGGATTTGGGAGTTTGGGGGATGGGGGGTGGTGACCTCCCGGTGGAGTTTTGGGGGGTTTTTAGGGGGGTGGTGACCCCGTGGTGGGATTTGGGGATTGGGGGGTGGGGGGATAGGGGGTGGTGACCTCCCGGTGGAGTTTTGGGGGGTTTTTAGGGGGGGGTGACCCTGTGGTGGAGTTTGGGGTTGTGACCTCGTAGTGGGATTTGGGGACTGGGGGTGGTGACCTCCCAGTGGAGTTTTGGGGGGTTTTTTGGGGGGTGGTGACCCTGTGGTGGGCTTTGGGGGTATTCTGGGGGGTGGTTCTCCCCCCAGTGGGTTCAGAAGTGTTTTGGGGGTGGTGATCCTGCTGTGAGATTTGGGGTGGTGTCCCCCTGATGGGATTTGGGGGTGTTTTGAGGGTGGTGACCCCGTGGTGGAGTTGTGGATTTTTGGGGTGTGGTGCCTCCCCAGTGCTCTTTGGGGGTGTTTTAGGGGGTTGTTCCCCCCCTGTGGGTTCAGGGGTGTTGTGGGGTTGGTGACCCCGTGGGGTTGGTGACCCCGTGGTGTCCCCGCGTCCCCCAGGAGCTGGTGGAGTTCTACCGGCGCAGCTCCCTCAGGGATTGTTTCAAGGCCCTGGACACGACGCTCGTGGTGCCCTTCAAGGAGCCCGAGAGCCGGGCGGGACCCCGAGCCCCGGGTACGGCCTGGGGGGGTCCCACAGGGGGGTGGGGGGGATGGACACGTTGGGATGGACATGGAGGGGGGATGGACACTTTGGGATGGACATGGAGGGGGGATGGACACTTTGGGATGGACATGGAGGGGTCCCACAGCAGGGTGGGGTGGGGGGGATGGACGCAATGGGATGGACATGGAGGGGTCCCACAGTGAGGGGAGGAGGGATGGGCACATTAGGATGGACATGGAGGGGTCCCACAGCGGGGTGGGGTGGTGGGATATTGGGTCCCACAGCAGGATGGGGGTGGGACGGACACGGGTGCTGGGACGGACACGATGGGATGGACGTGGTGGGGTCTCACAGCAGGGGGGTTGTGGGGCTGGGATGGAGGTGCCGGGGTCCCACATCCCACACCGGGGTGGGGATGGTGGGATGGGTGCAGTGGTGGTGGGATGGACACGGGTGGTGGGATGGACACATCGGGAGGTGCTGGGGTCCCACAGCAGGGTAGGGGTGGTGGGATGGGTGCAGTGGTGGTGGGATGGACGGGGGTGATGGGATGGACCCACTGGGAGGTGCTGGGGTCCCACAGCAGAGTAGGGGTGGTGGGATGGGTGCAGTGGTGGTGGGATGGACAGGGGTGATGGGATGGACACATTGGGAGATGCTGGGGTCCACAGCAGGGGGACAGGATGGGTGCAGTGGTGGTGGGATGGACAGGGCTGGTGGGGTGGAAGTGGTGGGATGGACACACTGGGAGGTGCTGGGGTCCCACAGCAGGGTGGGGATGGTGGGAGGGGTGCAGTGGTGGTGGGATGGACGGGGGTGGTGGGATGGACACATTGGGAAGTGCTGGGGTCCCACAGCAGGGTGGGGGTGGTGGGATGGGTGCAGTGGTGGTGGGATGGGTCCCACAGCAGGGTGGGAGTGGTGGGATGGGTGCAGTGGTGATGGAGTGGACATGGGTGATTGGATGGACACTGGGAGGTGCTGGGGTCCCACACCAAGGGAATGGGATGGGATGGGATGGGATGGGATGGGATGGGATGGGATGGGATGGGATGGGATGGGGGCAGTGGTGGTGGGATGGACACGGTGGGATGGACACGGCGGGAATTTGGGTCACACTGGTAGAGATGGCCCCGAGCGGGCCGAGGGAAGGACGGGGGGGACCCAACGGCCAGGAGGGGGGTGGGACCAGCTGAGGGGGGGTCTCACCCCCGTCCCCCCGTCCCTCCCCAGGGGCCGTGCGCAGTTTCGGCTCGGCCAAGGCGCGCTACGACTTCAGCGCCCGGGACCGGACGGAGCTGTCGCTGCGCGAGGGGGACGTGATCCGAGTGCTCAGCAAGAAGGGACACCCGGGCTGGTGGAAAGGGGAGATCTACGGCCGGGTACGGCCCCCGACCCGGGGGGGGGGGTCAGGCAACCCCTTCCCTGACCCCCAACCCCCCCCTAAAGCTCATCCCCCTCCCCCCAGGTCGGCTGGTTCCCGGCGAACTACGTGGAGGAGGATTATTCGGATTATTGCTGAGCACGGACGCCCCCAAACCACCCCCTGCCCGTGTCCTCCTCGCCCCCCGGAGCCCCCCCAAATTCTCTCCGGGTGATCGGGGCCCCTTCCTGCCCCGGAGGGACAATAAAGGAGGAGGAGGATGAGCCGCGGGGTTGGATTTTGCGGGATTTTGCCGAGCCCGGGTCGGGCTCGAGGCCGCGGGGAGGGATTTCCAGGAAAGGGCAAAAGGAGAGGTCAAGGTTTGCCTGGAAGGGATTCAGGTTTCCAGGCAGGGATGGGACGAGGGAGGTGAATCCGGGAATGGATCCAGGTGTCCGGGCAGGGATGGGACCAGGGAGCTGATCTGGGAATGGATCCAGGTGTCCGGGTAGGGATGGGACCAGGGAGCGGAATTCGGGAATGGATCCAGGTGTCCCATCCAGGGATGGGGCCAGGGAGGTGAATCCGGGAATGGATCCAGGTTTCCAGGCAGGGATGGGACCAGGGAAGTGAATCCAGGAATAGATCCAGGTGTCCGGGCAGGGATGTGTCTGTGCAGCTGAATTCGGGAATGGATCCAGGTGTCCGGGTAGGGATGTGTCAGTGGAGCTAAATCTGGGAATGGATCCAGGTTTCTGGGCAGGGATGGGACCAGGGAGGGGAATTCGGGAATGGATCCAGGTGTCTGGCAGGGATGGGACGAGGGAGGTGAATCCGGGAATGGATCCAGGTGTCCGGGCAGGGATGGGACCAGGGATCTAAATTCGGGAATGGATCCAGGTTTCCAGGCAGGGATGGGACCAGGGAGGTGAATTCGGGAATGGATCCAGGTGTCTGGGTAGGGATGTGTCAGTGGAGCTAAATTTGGGAATGGATCCAGGTGTCCTGGCAGGAATGGGACCAGGGAGGTGAATTCGGGAATGGATCCAGGTTTCCAGGCAGGGATGGGACCAGGGAGGAGAATTTGGGAATGGATCCAGGTGTCCGGGAATGGACCCAGGTGTCCAGGAATGGATCCAGGTTTCCAGGCAGGGATGGGACCAGGGAAGTGAATCCAGGAATGGATCCAGGTGTCCGGGAATGGATCCAGGTTTCCAGGCAGGGATGGGACCAGGGAAGTGAATCCAGGAATGGATCCAGGTGTCCGGGAATGGACCCAGGTGTCCGGGCAGGGATGGGACCAGTCTCTCCCAGTCGCTCCCAGTGATCCCAGAGCAGCCCCTCACCGCACACACACCACATTTATTCCCCCACTCCCAAATCCCGGGTTTTTGGGGGGAGGGTCCGGGGGGTGTTTTTTGGGATCAGGGCGTTCCCTCGCAGACCCAGCGGAGTTTCCCGGCGCAGGGATAATCGAACCACTGCCCGTCCGGCCCCAGCCCCGCGCAGTTCTCCAGAGTCCCCCCGTTGGGCTCGTCCCTGTGCCACCAACTGCCACAAAAACGGGGCAGCGGCACAATTTGGGGGGTCCCCAAATCCCTCAAACCACCCCAAAATCCCCCCAAATCCCCCAGACTCCAAAATTTCCCCAAATCCCCTAAATCCCCCAAATTCCCCAACCCCCCCAAATCTCCCCAAACTCCCCAAATCCCCCAAATGCCCCAAATTTCCCCCAAATCCCCCAAACACCCCAAAACCCCCTCAAAATCCCCCAAATCCTCCCAACCCCCCCAAACCTCTCCAAGCCCCCAAATTCTCCCAAATCCCCCAAATCCCATCAAATTCTCCAAATCCCCCAAATGCCCCAAACCCCCCAAACTCCCCAAATCCTTCAAATTCCCCAAATCCTTCCAAATCCCTCAAACCCTCAAATCCCCTCAAATCTCCTAAATTCACCCAACACCAAAATTTCCCCCCAAATCCCCCAAACTCCCCCAAATCCCCTCAAATCTCCCCTAACCCCCAAATTTCCCCAAACACCCCAAATCCCCCAAAACCCTCAAATCCCCCAAAACCCCTCAAATCCCTCCAAACCTCTCAAAACCCTCCAAAATCCCCAAACCCCCCAAATCCCCCAAATCCTCTCAAATCCCCCAAATCCTCCCAAACGCCCCAAATCCCCCCAATCCCCCCAAATCCCCCAAACCCCCAAATTTCCCCAACCTTCCCCAACCCCCCCAGCCCCCCTGACCTGCCGTTGCGGGGCAGGACGGAGCCGTCCCGGCGCTTCCAGGTTCCCTCCAGCTCCTCATCCCGGATCCCGAGCCAGGCCGGGCTTTGCAGCAAAGCCTGGACGTGTTTCTGGGGGGGGGGGAGGGGGGAGGGAGAGCGGAGTTACCCCTCCCCCACCCCGGGGGGACAGAGGGGACAACGCGGGACCCCCCCATCCCCCCCCCGATTCCCGATTCCCGACGGGATTCCTGCCTTGGAACGGGGTTTGGGCGGGGCTTTGGGGGGGGGTTTGGGGTCGGGGGGGGGCAGTTCAGAGGAGGGTTTGGGGTTAAACGCGGCTTATTTGGGGTCAGGGGTGTGGGAAAGGGTTGGGGGGTAAAGTTGGAGCCTTGGTGGGGTCTGGAGGGTCTTGGGATGAGCTTAAATCCTACATGTGTAGGGTTGGGGTCTGGAGGGTTTTAGGATGAGCTTAAATCCTACATGTGTAGGGTTGGGGGTGGGTTAGAGCCTTGTTGGGGTCTGGATGGTTTTAGGGTGAACTTAAATCCTATGTGTGTAGGGTTGGGGTCTGGAGGGTTTTAGGATGAGCTTAAATCCTGTGCATTTAGGGTTAGGGCTGGGTTAGAGCCTTGTTGGGGTCTGGATGGTTTTAGGATGAGCTTAAATCCTACATGTGTAGGTTTGGGGGTGAGTTAGAGCTTTGTTGGGGTCTGGATGGTTTTAGGATGAGCTTAAATCCTGTGCATTTAGGGCTAGGGGTGGGTTAGAGCCTCACTGGGGTCTGAAGGGTCTTAGGATGAGCTTAAATCCATTAGGATGAGCTTAAATCCTATAAATTTAGGGCTAGGGGTGGGTTAGAACCTCATTGGGGTCTGGAGGGTCTTAGAATGAGCTTAAATCTTATAAATTTAGGATTAGGCTGGGTTAGAGCCTCACTGGGGTCTGAAAGGTGTTAGGATGAACTTAAATCCATTAGGACGAGCTTAAATCCATTAGGATGAGCTTAAATCCTATACATTTAGGGTTAGGCGGTCTAGAGGTCCATTGGGGTCTGGAGGGTCTTAGGATGAGCTTAAATCTTGTAAATTCAAGGATTAGAGGTGAGTTAGAGTCTCATTGGGGCCTGGATTATTTTAGGATGAGTTTAAATCCTATATATGTAAGGTTAAGATGGGTTAGAGTCTCACTGGGATCTGGAGGGTTTTAGGATGAGTTTAAATCTATCTGTAGGGTCAGGGCCTCTCTGAGGTCAGGAAGGTCTTAAGATGAGCTTAAATCCTATAAATTTAGGGTTGGGGCAGTTTAGGGATTCATTGGGATCTGGAGGGT